CAAAAGCCAGTCCTCCCCAGCCGGGAGCCCAGGCTCCTGCTTGTCTGGAAGGAACTGGGACATTTTATGTGCTGGCCTCTGGGGCCATGGCTGAGTTGGGCAGGGACCTTGGCTAAAAAGCTTGATTTATTGGCAGCCAAGAATGCTTTATATTCCAGGTTCATAACATATGAAAGAAACGCTAGCTCACTCTCCCCATTTTCCACTCTTGCTTTGTCCTCAGTCTCTCTCTGTCTCGGTGGCGGTCTGTGGACTCCGGCCTTTTTCTCGCATACTGACCCTGCCGTTCCCTCTCCTTCCGTCTCCCCGCCTCCCGCGCCCAGTCACTCGGTCTCCGTGGGTCTCCCGCTGCGCGCTCTCCACCTGCTCTGACCCTGTCTCCTCCCGTCTCTGCTCCGTCCCCTCCGATCGACCCCCGGCCTCTCTCTACTTCTCAGCTGGCCCATTCCTCTCTGGTTTTACCTGTTTGTCTCCCTCCACTCCCTTAGTCCCTGCTCCTCCCAGAGCACCCCCTGTCCGAGGCCAGACGCACCTTGCTGTACTGCGTGTCCAGGCTCCAAATGTAGGGGCAGGGCCCCAGGCAGAAGTTGGCGTGGTAGCCCTTGGGCTCGTGGATCCACTTCCAGCCCAGATCCTTGCGGAAGTCGATATAGAGCTGCCGCACGCAGCAGTTCTTCTCCGTGGAGCTGCAGGCGGGAGGGAGGAGCCCGGGTCAGGAGGGGCTGCTGCAAAGGCGGCCAGGCCCCGGGGGGAGCACTCTGGTCACCCCCAGCACGGTCCCCATCTCGGTCCCCCTTGCACCGCCTGTGACAATAACGGCAATAGCAGTGAGAGCAACCATACGCAGTAACGCTGATAAAGTGAGCATTTATCAACTGACTCAGCTCCCAGCACCCTTCCCCTTGTCCCTCCCTTCCAACCACATTGGCCTTTCCTCTCAGTGTCACTTACTCCAAGTTCATCCTCATGGCCAGGCTGTGCCTAGGTCTTCCTACCGAGAACACTCTCCCCCAGTGCTCCCCCAGACTGCCTCCTCTGAGGAGCCCTCCCTCCTCCCCCAAACCGTCTCTCACTCCATCCTGCTTTCCAGTCTTAGCGTCACTTCCCACATCTGTCTCTTCCCCAGAAAGCAGGTTCCTGGTGGGCAGCAACTATTCCCTTAACCTCGCTGGGCTCTGGCTTCCTCAGCTTTAAAGTGAGTGTTACCTCAGATGACACTATCTCAGAGTTTTGTTATGGTGATTACACGAGTTAGTCAATATAAGGCATTTGGAACAGGGCACAAGGTGCTCAATAAATAAATCTAGCGGCCGCGGGGAGTACTTGGGATTCAGGAGTGCTCTGCAGGTGTTTGTGGGAGGAAATGAATGGTGGAGAGAGACAGGAGGGGGGCAGATGGATCCGGAACCAGGGAACGTCGGGAATGCCGGGAGGGAGACCCCAGTCAGGGACCCAACGACACGCACAGAGACCCCAGTCCTCTCTCCACCTTTAATGGACCCCAGGGGCAGTGGGAGCGGGGGCTGGGGCGCGGTGTCCTTAAATACAGCCCGGCGCAGCGGGCGGGGGCGGGGCCGGGCCTGCCGGTGGGCGGGGCCTGCCGGGCGGGGCGGGGCCTCAGCTGCACTTGCAGGAGCGCACGATCATGTTGGACAGCTGCTCCACCTTGGGCTTGCGGCCCACGTAGTACACGATGGGCAGTGGCTCCAGCGCCTGCGGCACGCAGCACGGCGCCGCCGACGCGCCGGGGTTGTGCTGGTTGTACAGGGCCAGGACCTGCGGGCGGGGGCGGGGGGGGGGCGTGGGCAGGGTGCCCCCTCCCCCTCTCCCTCTGCCTCATCTCGGTCTGTTCCGTTCTCAGTCTCAGCCTCACTCTCCCCATTTTCCACTCTTGCT